GTTAGCGCATGCGCAATATCTCACCAGAGGAGTTATATTTTGTGATGAATATACATTTAATGTGGTTATGGGATATCTCATAGATATAGATATAGAGCATAGATTTCCCTAATAAACTTTTATCAGTAGACCTGTGTTTATAATTAGGAGAGCGCCCTAGCATGTAGGGTACAAAACACCTACTTTATGCCCTCGCGTCCTTCCCCTTGCCTCCCCTGTCTCTCGCTCAGCCTCCTTCTTCTTCTACCGCCCCCAGCTTTCTTCCCTGTCGCCTTTCCTCAGTCTCCCATCCCCTTTCTCCGTCAGCAAGCTATATTATAATGTTTGCCTCAGACGGCATGGCACGCCTAACACGGTGCGCGCGCATATGCGCAATATCTCCCGAAAGCAATCGTATTTTACAAAGATTATGAATTTAAAATGAAGAGGAGTTATCCTGGCATAGATTTATATAATAACATTCCATTAGTAGACATCATTTAATAAATAGAAGGAAGACATTGCATGTAAGGTTACCGCTGCGTATACCAGCCAGTACACAATCTGGCTATGTTAGTGTGTTAGCGCATGCGCAATATCTCACCAGAGGAGTTATATTTTATGATGAATATGCATTTAAAATGCTTAGGGGGTATCTCAGCATAGATTTTCCTAATAAACTGTTATCAGTAGACCTGTGTTAATAATTAGGAGAGCGCCCTAGCATGTGCGGTACAAAACACCTACTTTATGCCCTCGCGTCCTTCCCCTTGCCTCCCCTGTCTCTCGCTCAGCCTCCTTCTACCGCCTCCAGCTTTCTCCCCTGCCGCCTTTCCTCAGTTTCCCATTCCCTTTCTCCGTCAGCAAGCGATATTATAATGTTTGCCTCAGACGGCACAGCACGCCTAACACGGTACGCGCGCATATGCGCAATATCTCCCGAGAGCAATCGTATTTTACAAAGATTATGAATTTAAGATGAAGAGGAGTTATCCTAGCATAGATTTATATGATAACATTCCATCAGTAGACATAATTTAATAAATAGGAGGAAGACCTTGCATGTAAGGTCCCCGCAGCGTATACCAGCCAGTACACAGTCTGGCTACGTTTGTGTGTGAGCGCATGCGCAATATCTCACCAGAGGAGTTATATTTTGAGATAAATATGCATTTAAAATGGTTAGGGGGTATCTCAGCATAGATTTCCCTAATAAACCTTTATCAGTAGACCTGTTTTTATAATTAGGAGAGCGCCCTAGCATGTACGGTACAAAACACCTACTTTATGCCCTCGCGTCCTTCCCCTTGCCTCCCCTGTCCCTCGCCCAACCTCCTTCTTCTTCCACCGCCCCTATCTATCTTCTCTGCCGCCTTTCGTCAGTCTCCCATCCCCTCTCTCCCTCAGTAAGCTATATTATAATGTTTGCCTCAGACGGCACTACAAGCCTAATACGGTGCGCGCGCATGCGCAATATCTCCCGGGAGAAATCGTATTTTACAAATATTATAAATTTAAAATGAAGAGGAGTTATCCTAGCATAGATTTATATGATAACATTTCATCAGTAGATATCATTTAAGAAATAGGGAGGAAGACATGCAATGTAACGTCACCGCTGCGTATACCAGCCAGTACACAATCTGGCTATGTTAGTATGTTAGCGCATGCCCAATATCTCATCAGAAGAGCTATATTTTGGGATGAAAATGCATTTAGTATGGTCAGGGGGTATCTTAGCCTAGGTTTCTGTAAAAAATTCTTATTGTCGACGCGTTGGTTTTATAATTAGGAGAACGGCCCTAGCTTGGTGCAAAACTCCTACTTCATTACCACCCGCCCTTTCCCTTGTCTTCGTTGTCGCACGCTCAGCCTCGGCTCAAGCCAATCTCGGCTGTCTTTTCTGCTTTTTTCCGTCAGTCTCCGACCCCTCTCTCCCTCAGCAAGCTATATTCCGTACTTTTATTTAGGCCATACTGCACGCCTGAAACGGTGCTCGCACGTGCGCAATATCTACCGATAAGAAGAATATTTTGCAAAGATTATGAATGTAAAATGAAGAGGGGTTATCCTACCATAGATTTATATAAGGAAATTGTATCAGTAGACCTCACTTCAGAAATAGGAAGTAGACCTTGCATGTAAGGTCCTCACTGCATATACCATTTAATACATAACCTGGCTACGTCACTGTTTTGGCGCATGCGCAATATCTCACCAGAAGAGCTATATTTTGTGATGAAAATGCATTTAGTATGGTTAAGGGGTATCTCAGCATAGGTTTCTGTAATAAATTCTTATCCGTCGACCTGTGTTAATAATTAGGAGAGCACCCTAACCTGTAGGGTGCCAAACTCCAACTACAGCCCGCCCGCCCTTTCCCTTGTCTTCTTTGTCGCACGCTCAGCCTCCTTCTTCTTCCACCGCCCGTCAGCTATCTTTCCTGCCGCCTTCCTTCAGTCGTCCACCCCTCTCCCACTCGGTACGCTATATTACGTACTTTTAATTAGGCCGTACTGCACGACTGAAACGGCGCTCGCACATGCGCAATATCTCACGAGAAGAGCTATATTTTGTGATGAAAATGCATTTAGTATGGTCAAGGGGTATCTCCAATAGGTTTCTGTAATAAATTCTTATCCGACGACCTGTTTTTATAATTAGGAGAGCAACCTAGCTTGTAGGGTGCAAAACTCCTACTTCATTCCCACCCGTACTTTCCCTTGTCTTCCTTGTCGCACGCTCAGCATCCTTCTTCTTCCACCGAATCTCGGCTGTCTTTCCTGCTCTTTTCCGTCAGTCTCCGACCCCTCTCTGCCTCAGCAAGCTATATTACGTACTTTTATTTAGGCCGTACTGCACGCCTGAAACGGTGCTCGCGCATGAGCAATATCTCTCGAAAATAATAATATTTTGCAAAGATTATGAATTTAAAATGAAGAGGGGTTATCCTACTATAGATTTATATAAGAAAATTGTATCAGTAGACCTCACTTCAGAAATAGGAAGCAGACCTTGCATGTAAGGTCCCCACTGCATATACCATTCAATACATAACCTGGATAGGTTACTGTTTTAGCGCATGCGCAATATCTCACCAGAAGAGCTATATTTTGTGATGAAAATGCATTTAGTATGGTTAGGGGGTATCTCAGCATAGGTTTCTGTAAAAAAAAAACTTATCCGTAGACCTGTGTTTATAATTAGGAGAGCGTCCTAACCTGTAGGGTGCAAAGCTCTAACTTCAGCCCCGCCCACCCTTTCCCTTGTCTTCTTTGTCGCACGCTTAGCCTCCTTCTTCCACCGCCCGTCAGCTATCTTTCCTGCCGCCTTCCTTCAGTCGCCCACCCCTCTTCCATTCGGTACGCTATATTACGTACTTTTATTTAGGCCGTACTGCACGACTGAAACGGTGCTCGCGCATGCGCAATATCTCCCGAGAAGAAGAATATTTTGCAAAGATTATGAATTTAAAATGAAGCGGGGTTATCCTCCCATAGATTAAAACTTACAATTTTCACTGAAATTGAAAGAAATTTACACAGACACTCTGCACACGCTGTTCAAACTTCCACACGTGGAAGAAAATATCAAACACGTGTGATCTTTTCCACACGACCCAGATCGAGGGATTTTGCATCCGCAACTCCCTGGAAGTTGCTGCGCCATCGTCCACACGTGTGCGGCGGGCTTTATAGACAGTTAAAGACTTGGCTGTATTGTGTCACAAGCAGTGATGATCTTTATTTCATTATAAACAGTTTATTGAATTTGATAAAAGACTATAACAGAAAGCATATAAGAACTTGGAGAAAAGACTTTTAATGCATGTTATCTCCAATAGTTCAATTATGTTAATGCACGCTATTTTGGATAAACGAAAAAAATCACTATCTGTGTTCAGTACAATCACATAAACATTTCTCTGATAAGGGGGATGTAATAGTATGGACTACTTCCTACACGTATGCACACATTCTATAAACTAGTGATTATTGTTAGGTCAGCGCAGATAGATATCGCTTTCTCTCTTGTTCGCCAGTTCGTGTGTGTCAAGCAGCAAAATATCTACCAGCTCCAGCATTAAACCATCTTTTGAGTTATAGTACTCTTCATCATTACTTAACATCTTCCACGCACAGCAATGATCTGCCACACGAGTCGCTCACAGAATATACAGCCTGTAGATATAATTGAGTTTTACCAATATTAATTATTGAAATAGTTATACCTATATTAAGCCATTCTAAACACGAAGTACAGCGTCGATACATTTGTCGTGGTGTATAGTAGTGTATACTGTGTATACTACTACTTGTGTTTCTATAAAAATGCGATTTTAGCATTTCGAATAGAGTGGCATATATGCCACTATATAAGAAATGTTAAAATCGCATTTTTATAGAAACTCCCTTATTTTCATCAAAGATAAATAAGATTTGTGGTATACACAGCAAACGTACTGAACAAAAAATATCACCCGTACAATCACATTAAAAGTCAAGAAACCACAAATGATTGGAAATTATACTACACTACACAATAACATGTTAACTCACGTAACTTTTCACGTCGAACAAAAACCTTGTGCTAGTACGTACTCTGCAACATCATTTGATGTGCTACAAGAAATCCACAGTCCAAATCCCCGACGTATTTTCCGTAATGCTCACAAACAAGAAGTCCCTCATATTCGGTAAGAAACTGATGTAGCATGCATGGACCTCCAGATTATGAACAATTATTCCAAAATATTGTTGGTAAGTAATTACTTGGATTTATTTCCCGTACAGACTGCAAAATTTGATCCCACACCAAACTAGTCCGGGCCAGGCCATGGCTAGACGCAGGCTAAATCACAGCATACAGACACAACACAGAAGTGCTAAGTTGGCACGGGTTGACTGTGCATGCTCAGTTTAGCTTGTTACGTCACTCAGCAGACATTTACTGTAATTTTATGTCGACTTAAATAACGCTATGCACATGCGTATTGCGAAATTGAACGCAGGCCAGGCCTCAATTGTGTACACACACGTACAGTTGAGCGTGGTGTAGGCGGCCTGGCACGCTTCAAAGCGGAGCCAGATTAGTCCAGACTAGCGCGTATTTAGCATGGCATAGCGTGTACACACTGCAAAAATTTAGCCTGGGCCTGGCCCGGATGCAAATTTTTTTCCCCACTCGAGTTCCGGACCCACCATAGATAGTGTTTTGTAATATATGGTTCGTATATATATGGTTGGATTATCGTTAGCGTTAGGGTTATAAGGGGTATTCATTTTACATTGTTGCTTCGAGGAAGTCGAGTGAATGGAGTGCGCTGATTGGCTGTGGTCCGTAACTCAAATGGGGAAAAAAAATTCGCGGCCCGGACTAGTTTGATGTGGTATCAAATTTGCAGTCTGTATTGGGTATTAGAAAGTAGATTGGTTCAAACCATTTGCATCGTATGTGCAGTTCAGCATTGAAAAGTCATTAATAAAACATTAATCGATTGCCAACAAGCACGGTCGGAAGCCAAATGTTCGTAAATCTGGGACTCCATGATTCCATGATGACTCCATCCACATCTGGGTTTACTGCACGCATAGTTTGCCGAGATCATAATAAAGAGATCAAGATTCAAAATCAGGATACATCGTGAAAAAACGGTCAGTGTAATCCTGATGAATAGTTACTCTTATCTATAGATTTTAGATCCTGCATTCAATTTTACTCGAACAAAAAAACAACCAATACTAGTAACAACTTTTAGCACCGAATACAAAGTTATTCATAGACACCGTATATCCCATCCAGTAAATAATTTACTAGTGAAAAATGATTTTAAACCACATATGCTTACGATGAACGTTATTTTCGTAGCAGAAAACTAGGTTCATGACAATATTCATAACATGACGAACTTAAAGAATTATTTTAATAATTACTTCACTACTTACTTTAAACTTTAATTGGTATAACATCACATATATTACTCTGTCATTTACCATAAATCTACACTATATCACTATGTAACTAAATTTGATTCATGTCTCCCAAATGAAATAATGCCATATGTACAGTAAATCAATGATACAATTAAAAGTACGACAAAGCATGACAAAAACTTAGGGCATGTTTGTTTGGTCAGATCCACGGATCTCGATCGAACCCTAACCCAAACAAACGCAAACTCACTTTCAACGGTTCGCGTTTCGCTGTGACCTATCACGGGATGGTTCATAACAAAGAACAAGCTGTGATTGGCTGAGGCGCGGGCCATCATATTGGATCCCCTTCGAATCCACATCGCTAGCAGGGTCGAGTTCGGTGGATCCAACCAAACAAACAGTCAGATCCACGGATCCAGTGGATCGAGATCCGTGGATCCGACCAAACAAACGCGCCCTCTGAGATAACCATCTGCATGCTCACCAATTTGTTTTCCGTGTGGAAACGAACAGAAATGCATATTTCAAATACGTTTGGCAATTTTCAAATGATAAACGAAATGAGAGGTAAAACTGATTGACACAAGAGCACATAAAACTTTGAAAGAATGTAGCGTAATGCATTGGCACAGACTTTTAGTGGAAGATCATGCTCGCCATAAGGGAGTAACAAATAGTGCATAGATTATTAATATAACTGGGCTTGGTGCACAGATACATATAATAGAAGAGAAACAATAGTGTGCACATAGATTGAGAAATTAGCACTCCATTGGAATCTCAGGCTTCAAGCTAACATTAATGATGGACTGATTTTTTTTTATAGAGGTTGAACGTTTTCTAATGCCCACTGTATAGACCAGATAGCCAGTGCCCTCATGTAACCTAGCGAGCGAAACTTCTGCCTAGGTGCATAGAGTGCTTCTGGTGTTTGGAATCCGAGGCCTAGACGCTCATAACAACTCCTGTAGACTCCCTCTGCAGTGTGGAAACCCTCTTCAACCATGCCCTGCACATAGGAAAGAAGTCAGTACCTCGAACATTGTAGCCGTTGCATTTCACACGTAAAAAAGTTCATGGCACACAGTCGGTGACAGAATGCGAATGCGTGCTCGAAGAAGAGAGATCACGAGAGAGAGAAGAGGGAGCAGGTGTGTGTGCGTGTGTGTGTGTGCACGCGTGAGCGAGAGAGAGAAAGAGAGAGACAGAGAGAAAGAGAGAGAGAGAGAGAGAAAGAGAGGATGAGAGTGGGAGAGCGAGATACAGGCAAAAAAAACTAAATGAGAAAGCAGCTATGTGATTTTACTAAACTGGGGTACTGTAAACTTCCAGTGCAAGTAATATCCATAACATATGCCTACCTCCTGAATCATCGTAGCTGCCAGTGCATAGGAAGTGCCTGTCCACGTCTCTTCTCCTTGTAGGCAAAAGGTGTCTATGGATCCATCAGTTCGCATGGCATTCACTGCTCCCATGGTGCCACCTTCGAACTTCAGCACATTGTTTTCGTATATCGTACGCAGTGCCGTGGTAATAGTCTCTGGTGGAAAAACCTGAATGCACCAAAAACATATGCCTGTCACATGGGTGTTAAAGTTACTTGCCCGTCCCATGCTGTAACCAACGGCATCGAAAAAACATTGTAATTCATGACGACATGGAGCTAATGCCGACGTCTTCCAGGCATTAAACGATGTAGTACACCACCAGCACATTACTATACAATAATTGCTCTCCATGTACATTGTTAACGATACACTTAAGCCTTTGTGCGAAATTTGATTGATTTTTCATTTTCGATGGCTAAAACTAGGTGCCACCTCTGTACATGCTTATTTCTCAATATAACGATGCATATGTGAACTTTCAGAGTGTTTTGATTGCCCGCGTAAGTGCGTAGTGAGTTGTCCTTTTAACCACTGATGTTGTCAGACACATGATACAACCAGCTTATTCACGGTGTTCATTATGCCAGAATCCACCAGCATCAACGCTTCTACAGCTGTCATCTGCCAGTGATACTTGCAATTACCACAAGGTAAACAAATAGCATTTACACCTCATTACATAGCCTTACATATAGGTACGGGTTTGTTGCGATGTAGCTTAGTGGACATATGCATAGACGTCATGCAGTACACATTGTTCGCGCGTTTCACATGAAATTGCAATAGTAACCACGTAATTTCTGACAATCACAATTAACTTCACTCTTTCATAACAACTCAGAATAATTTAATTTTACACTCGTTTCATTGCAACACATTGCTGTAAAAAAGCGCGCCAGAGTTTTATATTAAGAGCCGTCTTTTATTTGCATTAATTTTCAATCCTAACATACGACTTAAATTTTTAGGCAGTTTGTTTCATTTTTTTGGTAAATATGAAACAAAGAAAAATCACAACGCGCGATTTTGGTGCATATTGTGCTTAACTTGTGGCGTTCTTTTGCTTTCATACTCTTTGTGGTAATTGAGAAATAACTAAAATACTATTTTTATATAACAAGTGCCGCAGAGCGACAGCGCTCAACTGACGTGTACTATAGCCGGGTATTCTTCTGATAAACTCACTGGCAACCGAATCAAGTGCGCCCTCCTGCCACCGCGTTGATAGGCTTTGCTATACCGGTAGTACAGTAATAAAGATATAGCTGTGTAACTTTAATGACTTCGCTATATCAACGTTATCATGGATATGCGTCGAGCGCGAGCGTAGTGGTGGGGGGAGGGGGCTCTAATAGCAAAAGCAGTTCAGTCCTTTGTTAACAGTCAACAAATCTATGTTTAACTCTCCTCTTGAGGGTCAAAAGGTTATCAGACACTTACTCTTCGCACGTCAGCGGAAAGTAGATTTCACGGTCCTTTCAATAAAGTGGTAAAAATGGTAGGTCAGCGCTGAAACAAAAAAGTTTTCCACTTGGTCCGTTAGACCATGTCCACAGAAAATGTCTGATATCTGACCTTCCCCCCACTGCCCTTTGACCTGTGACCTCCAATTTTGCGCTGGTGATGGGTTTCGATACATCACACTATACATCGAATATTAAAAGCGTAAGTCGAGACGTTGAGATTTGTGCCGCAATTCCGTATGGGCGAAATATTCCCCCTCCATTGACACATCTCGACCTTTGACCTTTGACCCCCAAATTCGACATCCTGAGTCCTTTTCGCGATCCCCCCCGACGTCCCGAATATCAAGACCGTACGTCAAGCGGTTAAGATTTGTGCCCAACTGTTGACGGACGGACGGACGGAAGAACAATCATTCTACAAGCTGCATCTGACTTCGTCAACTAAGCTAAAAAAAAATTGTGTTGTCACATAATAGGTGCTGAAAGTTTCTTTATTTTTTTTGGCTTGAGCATAAAGATACACCTCATCTATAAATAAAACGTGTGAATGATTCGATTCATTTGTCAATGAATGTTTACTCTTCATTAGAGCCATACCATGCAAAAGCTTGAGTGTATCCTTAACGTCACTAAATCCAAGTAAATATAAATAATATCTTTGGAAAAAACACTGTTTTTTTAAAAGGAGTATTTTCTTTCCTGCAGTCTTATTGTGGTTCATAGGATGTAGTGAAGGATTGGTGAGATGCTAGATACTGGGAGTAAAGGCTCCTTTACAATGATATGAAAAAAATGGCGATCACATATACTTGATATCAAATGAAATTAGACAGTTCAATAGGCAGGTTGGGTGAATCAATTGTTATATGCATACATGCATAGAAGCAATTGCACTCATTGCCAAGCTATACTTAGTTTGGCATACACATTTTGTAATCAGCCAAATCAATTATATGTTCATCATACCTCTGCTTCGATTCCACACGCTTTAAGATACCAATAGCCGGCTAACTGATCTGACATGATACTATTGGCACAATCACGCCCGCTGCAGTCAAAGAGGTAAAACCGTCCTACAACATAAAACAGGATTCACAACTTATTTGTAGTAATTCCATATATTATGTGTTTCATTAGTAATCACATTCAGTCTAGATATACAAGCAGTTAAAACTCGATTATCCGAACGAGACGGGCGGGGAGTATTTTTTTGTTCGGATAACCGATTGTTCGGATAACTGATCTGATTGTAAATAAAGGAAGCATACTGAACATAATTACTGTGCGTAAAAAGCATGTTTGCCGAGTTTTTATTTCATTCAATCGATAAAAATGTGTGCAAACACTGGATATTGCTTAAAAATTCATGATATTTTACAAATGAAATCACTTTATGTGTCATTTAAATAACAAAAATATGGAGCTGAAAATTCAATGAAACGTGGCGTAATTACAAAAAATATTCACGGGACCTTGAGATCTTGTTCGGATAATCCGGTATTCGGATAACCGAGGTTTGACTGTAATGTGGTCTCAGGGTAAGCATGCTCAAAGGCTCAACATGCTACATTTGGAAAGTCAATAATACTCGATTACTTCTACAGTATTATAATTAGATAAAACAAACCTGTACATAAATATTATTTAGGAATTACGACAAACCTCAGGTGTCCTTTATAGAAGGGGTGGCCATGCTACAGAGGTGGTTTCACTGTATAAGTTGACTCAATGTAAACACTTCATGCGAAAACAACATTGAACTATTGAATTACATTGTTATTAATCCATAATAACACAACAGCAGCTGTACATGTTCTCCCTCATCTCTACCTACCTGTCCAAAGTTTCTTGTAGTAAGATTCTTTGCCTTGTTCCAAGAGGGCAGCATATTCAACTGTATCGGCAGTGCTGTCGATGATGGTACCTATCTCGCAGGCTGCCTTTAAAGCTGCTAGCCACAGTCCGCCACAGTAAGCACTGAACAACGTAAGGTTGACACCAGTCACGTGAGCATATATGTATGGTTTGTAATGGCAGGTGTTGATGTTTGGTTTGTACTGGTCTGATGGACGTTGATGTCTGGCTTGGGGAACAGCTGTGGGAATGTCAATGTATGGTTGACACCAGTCATGGGGATTTTTATGTGTGATTTGAATCAACCAAGATGCTAATGTATGGTTTCCACTGGTCTTGGGAATGGTGTGAATTATCTGGAAGCCTTCTCACTAATCAGCTGACGCAAACAGTGTGCATATTTAAGGTTTACACGAAAATCCTTATAAAATTATTTTCCAATGTCAGAAACCAACTCAGGCAATGTAAAAATTCACATCAGCTAATGAAACCCTTATATGTATAGGCAGTGCTAAATCATATATATGAAATGCTAGCACGCACACACGCACACAGAAAACGCATATCTTATATTTCTATCACCTGGCACCATACATCCTCCATGCATCATAGGTCTGATCAGCTCCTGTGTTGTCAATGATGCCGTCTTTATCAGAGTCCTGTTCAATACCCTTCTTAATTACAGCCTAAGGAAAAAATAGTACATATGACACTAATTACAATGTAATACAAACATCTATATCTATATAATCAAGTGATAATATTACATTATTATTGTAATAATGTTATAATTGTAATTAATGATGTATTGGGAAACATACAATAACTCACGCAGCATAGCAGTTAAATATACAGCTATAATATGTGCGTGCGTACATGCGTGCGTGCGTGCGTGCGTGCGTGCGTGCGTGCGTGCATCTATATAATAATTTGAGTAGTGTCGTTCTGTTTGTTCCTGCATATCTTCTAGGCGCGTGCACGAATCCGGTTGAAAATTTTCGTGCTTCATTCCTACGCATCAGGTTCGATTCTAACACTTTGCTTTTTGTCATTTATTGGGTTATATGTTTAAAAAAACCATAGATTGTATTCTTAGAAAATTAATAATGGAACAATCCTCCCTGGAACACACATTGCACGCATTCAGGTTCCACTTTGTCCGCTAAGCCGTGCGCTGCTGTTAGGACTTACAAACAACCGCCCAAACACACGGCTAAGGGATTGACAGTAGGTTCTGTGGTGGCGTTACCTTGCAGTACGGTGGGATTCTGCCAGGGGGCACACGCGGCTGGCTCGTTGGTGGAGAGTTCAACGGTTCTCTCCCTACGGCTGTCACGCTCGCATCAGCGAGTATCTATCTATCCAAATCTAATCTATTTTGCTACTCTATAATATCTATTCTCTTATCTATATATCTATCTATCTATCTATTTTATCTATCTATCGTGGGATCTATCCATTCATCAAGATGTTGAACCGGTGACCCTGTGATCCTTGTGGTGGAAAGGACTCAAAAATCAATTAGGGTGGTGTTCCTATCGTAGAGTTCCTCTCATCCCAAGGGTTGATATACAACCACACACAGCGCACGCACGCACGCACGCACGCACGTCCGCTACGCGACGCACACATTAAATAGGGCGGCTAGAAACCAATGTACGTTCGCGCGTACACTACGTCAGGGGGCAGGCTAGGTAAACTACTAAATTTTTACTTGCGAGCGTTTGCCTACATTTTTCCAAGCAATCAAAAACCCCGGTTAGTAGTAAAAACGTGGACGCGGGCAAAAGACCAAATAAATTGTATTTAACGCTGGGGTTTCGGATTAACCACTTCAAATATATTAACCCCGAATTAACAAACAAGTGCGTACAAGATATTTTATATAGCGTTGTTTCATATGGATAAGTTAGACTTTAGCTAGCCTGTTAAATGTTCACAAATAGATACAATTTACGGCAAAGCCTAGAACTCCTCATTTCAATTAGCTACATTCATTATACAGTCGCCACCCATTAGT